TTGAGTTCTTATTGTCAACAAAGGAGGCATTCATTTGTCAACAAAAGAGGGTGGTACAGCTACTCATGGCAGTTTCACACCCAAGTAGGTTTACACTCACACAGATTACATTAAAAAGAACTTTCAGGTTACATAATCGTAAAGTTAGTTCATCGTATTGTTATTCCGATTCCGCTTAAGAAATTACTTTTTTGATTTATTTAACTTAACGAATTTGTCAAATTCGAAAACTTATTGTTTGAAATTTTAATTTTGTTTTACTTTGTATTCAGTATTCCCTTTTACAAACCGATGATTCTTTTGTAAAAGTAGACACAATTTTTTTTATATCTATATGTATATGTTTTTAAAGCACAAAATAATGATAAAAATTGAGATATTTTTTAAAGTAAAGCCCCAAAAATAAAAATTATAAAAGCATTTACCGTTTTTTAACTTTATTTTATTGATAAAAGCAAATATACAGTAATTTATTTTTTCATATTATACAAATTGACATCTATATCTATCCAAACTAAGAAAATATTTTTAACACTTTCTACTTTGATGAATATCCTCTGTTCACAAATGAAAATTGTTGATTTTTTATTTCTTAGAGACTTTGATGGGTTGTCAAACCAACAAAAATGAAAATAAGGTATATCCATATATTTTCGTTGAACAATTGAATGTTCATAGTAATCTAGCAAGTTACTAGGATACTAGAAAATATCAACTACACAGGAATTTGAATCCAGTCATTCCAAACTACATCGGAGTTGGAAGCTCGATAAGTCAACCAAGAAAACAAAAAAACACATTGTATTATAAAAAAATAGAACTTTTCTTGATATGCCTATCTCCAAACAAAAAAGAATTACTTAACCGCCACATAAACCAACATGTAGTTAAGATAATCACTTCCGAGTGACGTTTCTTGGGTGTCGGATCCACATGGACACATGTCAAATGTTAAATACCTAATTTACATAAAGCTCACAAGTCTTGATGCGGGACCAATTTTCTAGAAAGAGGGGGATTTTATAAATGTAATCACACTAAAAGCAATCACTATCATGCAATATAAATAGAATGTAGATATCAACTGGGTGACAAATATTTGGTTCCAAGTTCCATTCATCTATTACGTGAGTTAATTTTGAATCAGTGTCGAATCTAACTAATGGTTTAAGTTGGTACTAAAGTACATCATTAACAGATCTAATATTCGTTGATACAAGGGAAAAACGAGATCCATGTTATACGAGATCTAAACCTAAATACATATATGACATAAATATTAAAATTGAGACCAACTGTGATACAAGGGAAAAATGAAATCCATGATACACGAGAGGGTTATGAAGAAAAACAAATATAATGATCGGTGTGAGCTAAGTGAAGGCTTGGACGAGTATGCGATCATGTAGTTAATATGAGTGAAAGGTTACAAATTCTATTCTTGCGTGCACTTATTTCATGTTTTAACTATTGTATCTATTATTAAATCAAACTATTAATGGTCAATGATCTTAACATACTAATAAGTTTCCAAAAAATAGGGATCCTGATTTTTACTAACACATTAGTTTATTGCATATCGCTTTATGTTAACATATGTTATTATATATTTGATAAAGAAAATTGTTGGCCCAAATAAAGATTCGAGACCAAATACATTTATGACATAAATATTGAAATCAAAAGCCATGAACACGATCATACAAAGGAAATGTGAGATCTATGATACAAGAGAAACTAAAGCCATGGTTGAAAATAGTATAAGGTTATCTAACATACGTCCCCCGAAGGGGATCAGTGATTGATGTGGAGCTCGGGCAACCCTCATACATACCACACTCGAAATAGCACGGGTCCCGAGTTGGAGTAGATCAAGTGGACAGGCCTTGAAACTACTTTATACTTCTCTCTCTAGCGCACCATACCCCTTAAAGTGTTTGATGGTGTAAGGTGATGAGGTGGTGGTCACAATGGTGTTTGATGGTGTAAGGTGATGAGGTGGTGGTCACAATGGTGTGGGACTTGTATGCCTCATAGCCTAATGATTTATTTGTGAGCAAAATGAAGACCTAGACGAGCATGCATTTAATATCAGGATACTGCTTTCGACATTATTTTTTTTACGCTTATTTAAGTTAATGTCTGAAATTCCATACAATTTATTTACACTTTACTTTTCATGTATTAGCACGATATAGATCTAACTGTTGTATCTTTTATTAAGTTGAACTATTAATTTGTTATTAAGTAGAACTATTAATGATCAATGATATTTAACATAACAATCTAACAAGTTTCCAAAAGTTGGATTTAAATGGTGGATCATCCATTCATATGCATCCTTACCAAATTTAAACAAACACCCGAAAGGAACATTTTGCTTACTAAATAAAAATGATAAAGATAGTACTTGGAACATTTACTGGTGGGTGCCACAAGGTTTGTAAGATATCCAAATCCCAAAAATTACCAATTATACTGGATTTTTTAGTCTATTTAGATTATTAAATTATTAGCTAACCAAGTTGGAAAAAAAAAATCTAAATTTCAATTCAGTTATCATTCATGATTTTACTAACTTACTAATCATTAGCCCACTTCAGTGACTTCACATTAAATATTACTATTATTAAAAAGAGTTTCAAATTCGGTGCAAAGCCTTCTTGAAATTAATTATTAAAACTGAAAAACTCAACAGCAACAAGCCCACCAAGGTACATTATAAAGAAACATTCATTCAAATTTCCAAAAAAAAATAATAATAATAATAATAATAATAATAATAATAACTAAAAATCTGCATGCAAATGCAAGTTTCCATCAAAATCCAAAAGCACCAACAAAAGATAACATAACAGAAAAGAGTTGATAATTGATATTCAAATTAAATAAAACTATTAGTATTACGACTAATCTATTATTATTACTAAATTAACTCCTATTCTACCTACGCGACACCATGGTATCCAGCAGATTCCAATAACATTGCCTTGATTTGATCAGGTTGCAATTCTTGACCTTCATTACACTGCTACAAAACACACACACTAATCAAAACAACAAGATACTTATAAATTAACATAATAAAATGAAGATCAAATAAAATGTTTGTACCTCAGCTTTGAAAACATCAAGCGCAAAGCCATTGAAACAACTGATAACAGCTTGTTGAATGTCTAAACCAAGATTATCAAGAGTTCTTGTCACTGAAAGCAACAGCCCTGGCCTTCGGCTGCAAAACATGTGTATATTCATCGCCCTTCCTTCTCTTTGCTTCACTTCAATCTACATTCATCAACAACCCAAAATTAAACACCATCCATCATCATTGTAATTTGTAAATTGATTTTGTTTGTGTAGTTACCCTAATTGGTTGTCCGGTGGGGGAGAGGGTGGCCGTGGGGAAACCCTCATCCTTGATGCATGACGGAATAGTGGTGGCAGCCGGGGTTAGGGGGTGGAATCCGGCGCCGGCGGCAGGGACCATGGAAGAAGAGCTTGATGGGATCGACTCAAGCTCTTGGTTAAGATCACTGACTTTCTGTAAAAGATTTTTCAGGTACTCGATAGCATCTCCAAGAATCGAAGCCCTATCCATCTGTTAATTATGATAAGCGTAACGACAAAAGTTATAATTGGAAACTTCTTCATTTTCATGCGGTTGAATAACAATTTTACTAATTTTGAAATGTAACAGGTGATCAATTATATCAATTATATGATTTCAAGATCGAGATCTTCAGTTCCGTTAATGGTGGTCCAAAAACTTTTGTGGTTTTTGGTTTTTAAGAATTGATTGACATCAGAATCCATGTGAGTTCATTAAAAAGGAAGGAAGAAAAATACAAACCCAGCTGCAAAAGCAAAAACATGTCACAAATGAATCACAGAAAAAGGAAGCTAAAAGAAAACTAAGAACGCGAATGATAATTCTAATTTCTATGAAAAATCACGAGAATTATATGCAGAAAAGAAATTCTGATTTCACAGTTCTTACCTTGCTAATATTTGGTACCACAGACCTCAGCAAGTAAAGTCTATCATTAAGCTTCTTCCTACGTCGCCTTTCCGCCATTAAATTCTTCGCCGGGAACCCTTTTCTCTTACCTTTCCGATCCCCTCCGCCTCCTCCGCCGCTGGTGGTACTGTTAGGATTGGAGCTCTCCCCACCGCCAATTTGAATCCCATTATTGTTGGTGTTTTCTGTTAACTCATCCGAATCATAATTCAGACCAGAATCATCAAAACTCATGTTATCCACATCAACTAAAACCCCCAAATTCCCTCCACCTCCGCCATTTGTATCATTTAAATTCCTTCGGAGAGCAGCTCTTTTCTCAAACAGAGTTGGCTGTAAATTCTCAAAGGGTCCAACACTTGGAAAACCAAATTGGGTTGTTGCAAACTGAGGATCCGAAGAGGTTAAATGAGGAATAAGCATTTGGGTTTGTGACACCAATGGCAATGCACCAAATTCCGATAACCCATCGTTTCCTCTATGCATACCCAGAAAACCAGTTTCCACATCGTAACCCGCGTCTAACGGGTTGTCAGAAACAGTGACTTTTTGAGGTAAAAAGTATTGGGCATGGGTCGGGTCAAAGTTCTGGAAAAGTAAGGGTGAATTAGGGGGGAAATCGAGGTTGTTTTCATGGTGATTATGGTGTGGTAAGTACCAATTGTTGTTGTTATCTTCTTCAACTTCAAGCAAAGCTTTGAATGAATTCAAATTGTTGAATTCATTTCCTTCATTGTTGTCGTTCATGGTGGCGAAAGAAAAGGGTTTAGAGAGAGAAACAGGTTAGAGAGAGAGAGAGAGAGAGAAAGAAAGATATTAGATATATAGAGATAGATGATGGTGAAGTTGCAGAGGGAAAGGGCAATGGCTTTTAGAGAGAAAGAAAGAGAGTGGGATACGGACGTTACATTTGGGGTGGCAATGATATCATTACAAACTTAGCTGGACATTTTTAATATTTAAAAAATCTGAAATATTTTCAAAATTTACAAGTTTCTATGCAAATAGTACATGCGAATTTTTGTTTACTACAAGATTCTTTTGTTTTTATTACGTGGTGGGTTCATGGATAAAAAAAGTACAATAATTTTCTTAAATTGGATATTAGGTGTAAAAAAAATACAAGGGAAACTAGTTGGATAAGTGTGTGTAGATGTCATATAATAGTATAATACGATTATGTTGTATTAAAGAATATAATATGTTATTAAAAGATAGAGGGTTGATCATTAAAATTTTAAAATAACCAAAAGGAAATTAAGGTAATAACATAGACTACCTGATTTTTATGTATTTATCATAAAATTATCATTTATTTTATAATAAATTGTAATTTTTACAAAGTTCATTATTCACGAGTTACATCTATCAGATAAACATTATTTGATTCTCAGTAGTATACATTGGATCGTGTATGGTTCTTTACTTCTTTTTGATAGATGTTCGATCATTTATTTCTATTTAATAAAAGAATTATTCGATTTTATATATTATTATTTTATATGGATAGAAGTACGGATAGATACAAAAGATATGAGTATATTTTTCATCTCTAATACACTCATTTTTAATACAAATATATACAAGCTTAAATTAGAAAATAACATAGTTCATGTTCCATTAAATATATCCGATAGATTTTTGTAATGGCAGCAGATGTTGTCTTTGTTTCATAAGTTAATGATAAGATAAAGCACTAGTTGAAGACATTAACAGATCAAGATACAAGAATGTGTTTATATGTATAAATTGTTGAGCATGAGAGCCATAAACGAAGCGAAACGATAGAAATATAGAGAAAATCTCAGATTGAATATACATATAAAACACAAAAATAAACCGGTAGAACTAAAATTGTACCATATCGAATAAAGATTCAACATTATTTCTGATGTAACGACTTTAGAGTTTCCAGCCTTGATGTTGGATCTTTAGCCCTCCGGTCGTATCCACAAGAACACAAGAATACACCAATGCTCGATTTACTAATCCACATGTAATGGTGAATGATTATAACTTAGTCACGTATCAAATATTATATTGTAAAAGTTATACAGTTGACCTTGCGTTGTCATTCTTTTTTACTAAATGTTTGTTGTTTTTACATATTCCATCGCATGGCACCAATATGCTACCAAATTAGCAACATAGTTTGGTTGTGAAGTTATTGTATGATGAAGAAAGATAATAAGAAGATTAATAGAATGTTATTCATATATGTATATACAATATGTATATACAAGTTTAAGTAATGAACAAGCAAAACCCTAGTTAACCGTTTTTTAGAAGATCATGTATCTCACTAAGTCATTAGACACCCATTTATTTTATTTCTGAACTATAATATCTTTAATACACAAATTAGTTTTATGTATGTTAAAGCAAAAGGATATATAGTCCATGATTCTAGCACTAACTCACATTTTAATGTGTTAACACAATATGTCTAAGTTTCCTATTCAGTAATGGTTACAAATATTAACGTCGTGTGATTCAAAAGTCATGTTATAAGTGGAAACATGAGTTTCAAGAATAGAGGTTTGGGTATATTCATCATTCACGAGTCTCGCATTCAAAATATGTACATGTTTCTTTGGCTATTAGTGTTTAATGATTAACCTTTCACATGATGGCCCTTACCAGGTGTGACGTGGGACCATTAGGGGTATGGTTTATCCTAAAAGATTAATGATACATGAATATGTTTACATATGTAAGTTGTTGGGATTTTAAGGGCCATATGCACATGGAACAGAATAATAGTAACATATAACCAACACTCCAAACTAAAGATCCATGTGAGTTACAAACCGATAAAACCAAAAGCACGCCTTATCAAATAAAACTTTAAACTTTATGATGAAACAACTTGAAATTTGTAACTTCAATGTTGAATCTTTAGCTTGAGTGTTTTATCCCCCCTATGACATTCTCACGACCATTTAGCCACGATTAAGTCATGGGAATATCAAATCTTTATTATATCAAGTGGACAGTTATACCAAATTAGAACCCATAATCCATAAAAAAAATGTTATAGAATGTCATAATGGTACATTTGGTACAAATTTAAAATGTTTAGGGACCATAGTTGTATAATAATACCTATAGCAACCTAATATGGACACATCAAACAGTTAGATGTTGGATTCAATCTAAACCTACAAGACACACTTCATTTTTGTTTACCCATATGTAAACTCTGTACTAACCATATGTTCTTCATCGTACTACTTCAACCATAGTCCAAAATAATACTTAATGAAATATATTTTAATAATAATACTATCTCCGTCCCAAATTTATTATCTACTTTTGACTTTTGAAGTCTTTATTTTTCAACTTTGACCTTAAATGTTTTTGTTTTAGATATATAATACTTGATGCAAAATATATGAATGGATTGTGTTTTAAATGTCTTTTCATTGTTATAAGTTTCATCAAATAATATATAACACAAGTAAAAATATTTAAGGTCAAAGTTGAAGAATAAAGACTTCAAAATTCAAAAGTTGACAATAAATATGGGACACATGGAATATATTTTTGGAATATTAGCATGTTTTTTGTTAGGTGTATACTTAGAAATTATATTATATATTCTAGTGTTATCCTTGAGGAAATTAAAATGACTAAACTGACTAAATAAGAACATACTAAATAGTTGGTAGCTAAATCTTGACATAAAACCAATAGAAATATAAGCATCTCGAAGTGTATGTTTACACAAATGACCTAAAACCAAAGGGCCTTTGGCCTAGCGGTAATGAGTGACTCTCTCAATTGAGAGCTCATGGGTTCAAGTCTTGTTGGAACCATAAGTGGTAATTTAGGATTATATTAGTTTGTCGTATTTGATTACTATTTATTACAATATTATATAACATATCCAAATAATCATGAAATTGATCACAATCAACATTTGATCGGTTATATTAACATTATTTTGTTGCCTCATTTATTATCAAACGTTAATCCTATTTTGTGTTGTATGCATTTGGTGATGATAGGTTAGTTAATTACTTAGCATAAATATAGGTTTTAATATATTTTGTAAATGACTCAATAGTTAGTTTAGAAGTTTTAGCCATTTATGTTAATTACGTAATGTAAAGTGGTTTGAAGGCGTGGTTAATTGAATTCCAAACTAACTAGGTGATTAAGTCGGTTTATGATCACTAGTCAGTTTTCTGTTAAAGACTCGACACCGACTTACAAGAGAAAGTTCTTTTAAAGACCAAACTAACTTTGTGATATTATATGTTTAGATCATAAGTTAGTTTCCACTTAGAAGAAAGAAGATTGCAATAAGAAGAGGAAGTCAGTTTCCCAATGTGCATCATCTTAAGCTAAGTTGTAACATCCTCATTTTAGGCTTAGAAGTTTATACCTATTCTTAGTAGAAAAATATTTTTTTTTGGAAAATAAAATAAAATAAACTAATTAAATTAAATTCAAGGTAAATACAAAAGTTTTGAGAATAGATCTATCTCCCTTCTCTCATCTCTCATTAAAATGATTTGATATCAGCTTGTTCGTTGCAATTTTTGAGAAAATAGGGTGATTAGAGTGGAAATTTGGAATTAGATTGAAGTATTAAAGCTATGTGAGAGTTGTTGAAACATTGGAATGTAATAAACACCCCTTTCTCTTCTTAAGATCGATATAGGGTTCAGAGTCCAAGCCAAGTCTGAAATTTGTGTAGAATAAGGAGTTCAAATTATTTTTCTAGATTAGTCATTAATTCATAAATCTAAACTTCAATCTCCATTATATTAGTTTAACTGGATTAATAAACTTCGATGAATCATAAAACATAATTATGGAGAGGCATATGAATTTCATTAATCATCATATCATATCATATCATATCATATCATACTATATTATAAAGGAAGCATTTTTTCTTTCACCACATTCATTTGAAACTCTCATGCATTTTTTCTTTCACCACATTCATTTGAAACTCCCATGACTTTTCAATTTCTTTATAATAATAATTATAAGTTGGTTAATAAGGTTAAATAAATCTCAAACCTAAAGTGTTATCATATATAAAATAAATTTCAATATTAAAATAATATATTTACTTCTAATTATAAAGTTATGTTTTTTAACTTTTAACATATTATACTTAATTTATTAGTTTTAATATATTGTTGGATGTAAACCGTTATCATTTTAAAGATATAATTTTGGAACAATTTGTATAAATACTTAAATTATAAATTTGAATATAACACTACAATGTCAACCAAAATATAATTTTTAGTTTAACTTAAACAACCCAAAGAATATTTTGTAAATAGTTAAATGTGATTAATTGTAGTGTCTTTCTAATAATGAAAATAATATATTTACTTATACTTATAAAGTCATGTCTTTAACTTTTAAAATATTATACTTAATTTATTAGATTTAATATATTGTTGTATATAAACCATTATCAATTTAAAGTTACAACTTTTGAACAGTTTGGACAAAATACATAAACTGTTAATTTAAATATAACATTGCAATGTCAACTTAAATATAAATTTCAGTTCCACTTAAAAAACAAAAGAATATTTTGTAAATAGTTAAAAGTGATAAATGCAAAAACTAAATTGTAATCTCAATTTAACTAAAATATTTCTTAAAAATATTTTTAGAATCGTTAAAAGTTTTCAAATAAGTAGCTTAAAATAACTTACAATAACAATAGTTAAAAATA